AACTGTGATAAATACCACACTGTGGCAAAAGGTTTTATGTTTTTCACTTGGATTGTTAGAGGTCCTGTTTATAACGCTGATAGAAGTAATATATATAATAAATATTTTATTATAAATATATATTTTCTCTTTTTTAGATGGGAGTCTCACTAAATCACCAAATTGCCCTAGCTGGGCCCAAGCCTGGAATCCTCCTGCCTTAGCCTCCCAGAGGGCTGGAATTACAGGCATATTCCACTTTGCTTGGCTATACTGAGAGTTTTGATAGTTAAATTTATGGGGTTTTTGATTTGGTTTGGTTTGGGAGACAAGAGTCTCACTATGCAGTTCAGTCTGGTTTTGAACTCACTATGTAGCCCAGGCTGGTCTTGAACTCACTGCAGTTCTCCTGGTTCAGCCTCCAGAGTGCTGGGATTACAGGCATGCGCCACCACACCTAGTGATAGTTAAATTTCTAACGGGATTTAAGGATCAAATCTTAAATCATTGACTATAATGCATTATTATTCCACAGACTGAAATTATAGATCCTTCTTCGCTTCCTTCCAGACATAATCCTAATCCTGATGTCTCAAAATACATTGCTCTATGTTGGTAATATTTGGGGTTTTTTTTTTTGTCTTTTTGAGACAGGGTCTCGCTATGCAGTTCAGGCTGGCCTTGAGCTTACTTTGTAGCCCAGGCTGGTCTTGAACTCACAACGATCCTCCTGCCTCAGCCTCCTGAGTGCTGGGGTGTGCGCCACTACGCCTGGCCGTTGGCTTTTTTAAATTATGCTACAATTTGCTTTTTTTCTAGACTTCTAGCTCCTTTTCACCGGAGAGGTTTGATTAACTAGCATTAAAGTTCAGATACTCCTTTGTTTCCAGTTTTAACTCCCATTCTACAATAAAGTCAGAATAAAAAATACAAAGCTGATTATGTCACTCTTCACCTCTTACCTTAGTGTGGCTCCAGCGCTCTCAAGGTAAAATACATGCTTAATATCTGGGCTCTGCCCTGCCGTTTCCTTCCCTGCTCATTAGTCGCCATCTCCTAGCTTTCAGCTTCAGTAATAAGGTTGCTGCCTGCAACCCTCTGTCCTGCCCAGCATTCCTCCTGCTTTAACTTCTTTTACACCTTTCTGTATTTCAAGAATCAGATTTTAACATCTCTGGAAAGCTTTACCTGATGCCAAGAGTGAGTCAGTCATCCTTCATTGTTTCTTAATGCCTTACCTTTAGCATAACACTTTGACCTCAAATAATACTCTGCCTAGTTTGTCTCCTGCACTAGTCTGCACATTTCTTGAATGCAGGGCTTTGCTGCTCTCTCCTTAGCATTTGAGTGTACCTGGGGAGGACTCACGTTATTTTTTATTTTGTTTGTTTGTTTGTTTTTTTGTTTTTCTCCGGTACCGGGAACGAAACTCACGACCTTGTGCTTGCCAGGCAGGCACTTTGCCACTGAGCTAAATCCCCAGCCCCTTCACGTTATTTTTTAAATCGATAAATAAAAGTGCCACAAAGCTTTAACCAAAGCCCCTTTACTCTCTTATTAAAAGCCCATCTTTCCTTCCAGCCCTACAGTCTTTCTGCACCAATCTCCTGAAGGTAGGACTGGGAAGATGCAGAGATGGAAGCCACACACAGTAAAGCAAATCTAAAGGAAGCAGCACAGAAAATAGGGTGCTGTTGTAAATGACGTGCAAATGATCTTAACTTGCCCAAGAGATGGCAGAGGCACCCGCTTGGGATTGATTTTTGGCAAATGGTGGCTAACCATACTGACTCCCCAGACTCATTTTTTTTTTTTAGATAGGTAATTTTTAAAATTTTTCTCACAAAAAGACAACTGGAACAAATAAATATAAAATGGTACATATGTCATACTTATCAATGGCCAAATACACATTTTCTTGGTAGTCCCCACAGAATAAACTAATGGAACTTTCAGAAGCGTACACATCCTACCCACCTCCTACCATCTTTAAAAAAAAGTCAACTCTTAATTCTCCACAATTTTTAACAATGAATTCTCAAGTACTCAAGACTAAGGTTATCAAGACATCTAAATCAGTAAATTTAAAAAAATATGTATTCTCTCTCTCATAATATGACATTACCCAGAAACTCCAACTAATGAGTATTCTTATACCTTTTCAGGTCTTACACTTTGCATGAGGCCTATTCTGTTTAAATCTGCATGGCAAATAAAACAGCTGAATAGTATGCATATCTTCCACACATTCCCAAGAAAAAACATTAAGTGTATTTAATATACACTGAACAACAAATGCCCATTTCCTCTACTTGGAGGTAATGCAAAAGATAGACAAATACAAAAACTATTTGTGACCAAATTTAGCTAATAAGATATATCCTGCCTATTTGGCTCACAATAATATACCAAAGTTGGAGCAAGGATGAATATCCAAATGTATTTTTTCACTAAAATTTATCTTCAAATTAATACCTAAAAAGCTTTGCTATTACTTTCAATTAAATGTTCTTTTTAAATAATTTTTCCATCATTTCAAGTCAAATAAAAGCATTTTTTTTTTCCTTTCTGCTCTTTAAAAAATTATTTTTAAAAATCTTCAAATAATTTCTTAGTGGGTACTTACATAATTTTCCACTTTATAAAGAATATCCAGAGGGGCTGGGGATTTAGCTCAGCGGCAAAGCGCCTGCCTGGCAAGGCAAGGTCGTGAGTTCGGTTCCCGGTACCGAAGAAAAACCAAAAAACCAAAAAAAAAATAAAAATAAAAATAAAAAAAAAAAGAATATCCAGAATGGCAGAAAAGAATATAAAATGTTTAAAGGGTCATCTTAGAATAACTAAGTAGATTTGAAATTTTCTTTTGTATGTTTTATGTACTGCCCAGGCCAGTCTGAAGAACATCTACAGATGGAGGAGAGCTCTGACGTCGGATAAACCATGCTCATACGCTCCTGTGCACACAAGGCCTTGAATTCTCCAAAGCATTAGGTTTTTCTAGTTCTATATCTGAACCTTTCTTTGTATTTCAAAGCTAATTTAAAGTTAGAAGGTAAATACATTTTTAAAATTTTGTGGGTGAGTATCATTAAACTATGAGATCAACTTCCTCGGTGATAAGTCAAAACTCCAGAAATGTGGCTATATGTCACAAAGCCCCAAGCGAAGAGCCACGGTGTCAACATGCATGATTGGGAGTCCTATAAAAGTCACAAAGCATTGGAATTCAATGAATTAAATTAAACTCTTCCCAGTAAGAGACAGTGTTTCATGATGGATGCAGATTCTGTTTGCTGTCCATAAGATGTACACACATCACTCCTGCTACAGACTCACTTTGTGATAATTTAGAAGTACAAATTTCACTTCAGAAAATACAAAGGTGGAGTATGAATTTGAAGATACACAGTACAAACAGGAGTTAAATGGAACCTGCCTGCAACAATCTTTTATTATTCCTTTAAGGGTACATAAAATCTGCACACAAACAAAGCATTAATTCTCATAATAAAAAATACTCCCCTAGCCAGGGGGTCCAGTCAGATTCGGTAGTGAGTGTATGTTGTATCACATTCTATTCCACAGGTATGCTTTCTTTTGAGCCTGCAGGGTTAAGCTAGGCTTTTTCTGGAAATGCTAGCTTCTCACGAACTGCCTCCTTTATTGGTAAATACTGTGATATTTCATTAGGTTCCGTGAAGAGGGAAGGTGGAACATGAGTTAAATTAGCAATTTTGCTTTCTCGTGAAGTATATTCGAGTAACATATAGTTCTTGTCAGCCTCATGGTAAACCCTTGTGTCGTTCATTCTGATAAGCACCCCATCAATTCTCAAGAGAAACCGCAACAGCAGAAAAAAGCTAGAAGGCATTACTCTAATTTTCACACTCAAGCTTGAAACTCCATGATCATGAAGTTCATCCTCAAAGAGAACTTCAAAGAATTTCATCTGTTTTCTGGCTTTCAGTTCCTCTGTATCTATATGATCTGTTGTAGGTGTAACTTCTCCACATCCGCTGACTTCATGATGCGGGTCTTGGCCGCCGTCACCTTCCCGGGCCCGAGGGAGAAGTTCTCGTGGCTGCTCTGGAAGCCGTGGATCGAGCGCCAGCTGCGCGCTCCCCAGACTTATAATTCTGTAACCAAATTCCTGTCCAGCCCAAGCCTGGGTCCCGACAAGTCACTCACCTGGGCCCAGGCAAGCAGGAAACTAAAAACTAAGTCCCCAGGCCGCCCTCAGAAGTTTCCTTCCACCTGAGCCAGTCCGAGAGGGTTGAGTACCGCCGCCTGGCGGTCGAGCCCGAGGACCCCTGGCAGGGAAGCTGCAGCGCACACGGCCAGTAGTTTCCGGAACATGAGGGTTCGACATGCGATGTCCGCAACCAGCTACTGAACAGTAATATTCCAGGTAGCATCTAAGGGCATCACCACAACAGTGGTCAGTAAATCCGCAGCGGCTAAGTGGGCGAAGAGTCGCCGGGCCGGAGAGGGACGCAGGTGGCTGGTCGCGGCCGTGTCACTGACCACAGCACGGCCAGGTTCCCTCCAGCAGAAGAAAAGAAGAGCACAATGGTCACTCCTACTCGGACCCTGGCTGCAGCTGAGACGGTGGGCAGCTCGGAGCCCTCCCCCTCCACTCCGGATCCCGCCCAGGCCGCCTCCCCCACCGCGGGCCCCGGCGGGGTGCAGCTGCCCGCACACGCGCTGGCCTAGAAGGGCGGAGTGGGGAGGGCGAACGGTGGTGTGCAGCGGTTAGCTTCGGCCGCTGATTCTTCGCTTTTCTTTTAACGTTTGAAGCTGGTCATTGCAAATTTCTCCCACTAAAGTCTCTGTAGACTCTCCGGCTATGCTGGAGAAGGTCACCAAACAGAAATCTGGTGCTAATCATGCCCCTTTCCCTTGCATATTAGTCTGGGCTTCGGGTTTCAACTGCTTCAGACTCGCTTAGTGCCTAGACTCCGAGGTTCAACCCAAGCGTGTGCGCGTGTGCGTGCGTGTGCGCGGGCGCGTGCGCGTGTCCGCGGGCGCCCGGTGCTCGGAGGGGCGCGCCCTAGGCGAACGCTGCCCAGCTTCCTGCTGCGCTTTCTTGCTCCGCCCCTGCAGGCCCCGCCTTTACTCTTGAATATTTAAAGCAGAAGAGCCTGCTGGAGGTGTGCTTAGGAGAGACTGTTTTATAAGGGGATTCTCTGACGGAGATTCACGTACAGTAACACGAGAATGCAGATCCAAAGACAAGCGCTTCGAGTCCTGAAACTCCGCTTTCTGGGCTGGCTCCACACAGTTTCTTTCCGATGCTGTTTGTCCCTCGCGAGGCACCGTTGGTTCGCCTAGTAGGCGTGACTAGGGGCTGGAAGTAGGGCGGGAGCGGGGCCGTGGAGGCACGGCCGCCGCTGTCATGGACGCCTGGGTCCGCTTCAGTTCCCAGAGCCAGGCTCGGGAGCGGCTGTGTAGGTGCGGCCCGAGGAGGGACGGGAGGGGGATGGGCAGCCAAAGGTTCTGGTGAGGCGAGGTTCAGCAGGGCTACGGGGGTCCAAAAGGGTCAACTCTGGCTACGGCGGCCCGTGCGGACTTTGAGGAGCACGGTAGTGAAGAGATGATTGTTTTCTGCTCACGGGAAAGATGGAGAAACTGAGGCATGAGTGGACTAACGGGGAGGCCAGTTAAGGTTCCTGTGCCTACATAAATTCAGCAGTTTCCTCGCTGGGCGGTGTGGAGTGAGGCGCGATTCCTCCGCGGCGCATAGCGATCTGGACTTTTTGCCCAGAGCTGAGAAGCTCTCAGCGTCCTTTCCCCGCATTCTGCGGTCACCTGCGCGCAGCTCAGCCTCCGCACGCTTTTGGTCTCCGGCCAGCTGGAGGGCCTCAGTTTCTTAGTTCACCCTCCGGCCGTACCTCTCTCCTGCACGTCGTGGACGTGCGCGGCCGCGCTTGTGACGGAACCTTGCTGCCCTCGCTGGCCCCCTTATTCCTAGTCATTGTCAGATTTCTTACTTTGTGCTCCCCACTCCCAGCAGACGCTATAGGTTCTTTTTTTCATGCCTGTTCCTTTCCCAGGCCTGGAGGAGGAACGACGAGATATGGGCATGCAGAGGAGGAGAGAGAAAATCCAGCCTTGTGTTTTGGAGGGCGGTTTTGAAGGGGGAGGTTAGGGAGGCCGCCACCATATTCTGCCTGTCGTCTCCTGCAGGGCCGCCCAGTATGCGTGCTCCCTTCTTGGCCATGCACTGCAGAGACGTGGGGCCAGTCCTGAGTTACAGAAACGGATTCAGCAACTGGAGGGTCACCTGAGCCTTGGAAGAAAACGTAAGTAACTGTACCCCAGCCTTTCTTCCCTTCCCCCTATTCTTCCCTTTTCCTGTTTTTTCCTCTTCTACCAGTTCTTTTCCCTCATTTGGTTCTGTACTTATCCTCTGCATGTCTCCAGTTAAGATAAGAGAGCAGGTATAAGGAAGTAATAGATGATTGGAAAGAATGGGGCATGTTTGAGAAAGCTTAAACTGGGATAAAAATTGGAATTTGAAGTACAGTACTCTGGGAAGCTGAGATGGGAGGCTTGAGTCCAGGCTGGACAACTTAGTGATTAGCAAGAATTCGTCTCAAAATAAAAATAAAAATGTTTAAAAGGGCTGGGAGCTGGGTATGATGGCACACACCTGTAATCCCAGCACTGGGGAGGCTGAGGCAGGAGAATTGCTGAAAGTTCAAAAACAGCCTGTACTACTTAGTAAGACCTTGTCTCAAACACAAAAACAAAACAAAACAAAAACCAGGCTGGGGATGTAGCTCGTTTGAAGACCTTGAATTCAATTCCCAGTACCCCAAAAAATTTAAAATAAATTTTAAAAATTTGAAGCAAAAAAGAATGAACTGTTTCTACTTTTTTTGTTTATTTGCTTGCATGTTACTATTACTTGTTTCACTTTCACCGTCTTGCCTTCTCTTTTTTTGTATCTTGCTCTCTGCCTTTCTACTTCCAATTCCTTGCTTTCTCTTGTGAATCTCCACAAGTTCTACGCCTGGGCAACTCAGCAGATGCTCTCGAGTCAGCCAAAAGAGCTGTGCACCTATCAGATGTTGTCCTGAGATTCTGCATCACTGTTAGTCACCTCAATCGAGCCTTGTACTTCGCATGTGACAATGTCCTATGGGCTGGAAAGTCTGGACTAGCTCCCCATGTGGATCAGGAGAAGTGGGTGCAACGCTCATTCAGGTTTGTTGCTTTTTTTTTTTTTTGAGACAGGGTCTTGCTTTGTAGTGCAGTCCGGCCTTAAGTTTACTATGTAGCTCAGCCTGGCCTTGCACTCACACTCACAGTGATTTCCTGAGTGCTGGGATTACAGGCATGTGCCACCATGCCTGGGTTCAGGTTTGTTATCCTTTTATCCTACAAGACCTTATGTAGCCCCCATACTCTACAGCTTGCCTTTTATGAGAGAAAGATCTCTCAGGTTCTTCCCAGAGTATATAGTTGGCCATCTGTTTTTTTGGCTCCACATTCATGGATTCAACCAACCACAGATTGAAAATATTGGGGGGAAAATTGCATCTGTGTTGAACACGTATAGACGTTTTTCTTCTCTTTATTCCTTAGTATAGTAAACAACCCTTTATAGCATTTATATTGTGTTAGGTATTATAAGTAATATAGAGATGTTTTAAAGTATACAAGAGTATATATGTAGGTAATATGCAATTACTATACTATTTTATATAAAGGATTTAAGCACCTGGATTTTGGTAAGATTTGGGTATACATCAGAGTCTCGGAACCAATACCCTATGAAGACCAAGAAGAAACTATATATGTGAAGCAATTCTTTAATTCCAGTCCGCATTTAGATCTTAATCAGAGAATAATGAATGGGGTAGATGGAAGGCACATGCCCTTCCGTAGTGAATGACTAAGATTAGACATGATACTACTTTCTTTCTGCTTCTATGTATACCACAGGTATTCCCCCTCCCCACTTGTTTGTTTATTCATTCAAAAGATTTTTGTAAGAGATGGGCCTCAATATGTTGCCCAGGCTATCCCAAACTCTTGGGCTTAATCAGTCCTCCTATCTCAGCTTCCCAAGTAGTTGGGACTATTTGCAAGGGCCGGCACCATTCCACTCAGCTTTTCCATTAACATTTATTAGGTATACTTACTATGAGCTAGGGGATAAAGCAAAGAGCTAAACAGATATGATGTCTACTCCCAAGAGGCTTCCACTCTAGTGGGGGAGTGAAATATTAAAACAGATAACTACTCAAATATGGAAAACCACAGGTCTTTATAAGAGGATAATGACAAGAGGAGCTAATTTAGAATAAAGTCATGGGGGCTGGGGATTTAGCTCAGCGGCACAGCGCCTGCCTGGCAAGCGCGAGGTCGTGAGTTCAATTCGCGGTACCGGAAAAAAAAAAAACAACAAAAAAAGAAACTATGAATTATTAGCCAGGTGTGGTGGCGCATGCCTGTAATCCCAGCACTTGGGAGGCTGAGGCAGAAGGATCATTGTGAGTTCAAGACCAGCCTGGGCTACAAAGTAAGCTCAAGGCCAGCCTGAACTGCATAGCGAGACCCTGTCTCAAAAAAAAAAAAAAAAAAAAAAAAAAAAGAATGAAGTCATGGAAGAAGTCTTTGAGAAAGTAATATTTTAGTTCACACCTGAAATAGTAGTTAGACAATACAGAGAGTAATAGATAAGACCTTTCCAAACAGAACATAGCACATTCTAAGGTTTTGAACCAAGAAAGACTTCAGGCAATTAGAAAAGTAGAAAGAAAGCCAGTGTGATGGATGGTATTGATGAGTATGGGGGATACATTCAAATTTGAAAGACAGAGACCAAATCATTTATGTGGAGCCTTTTAGGCAATGGTAAGATTTTTGTTTGTTTGTTTTGTTTAAATTTTATTTTTAATACAGTAGGACATTATTAAAGGGTTCTATCCAGGGACATAACACGATTCAAATTGTATTTAAAGAACATCTGTCTTGTACTGGGGATGTAGCTCAGCGGTAGAGCACCTGCCTAGCACAAGAGGAGCTCTGGTTCAATCCACACCAGCATGGCAAAAATAACTCCAAAACCCAAAGAACAAAAACAAGAACATCTGTCTTGCTGTGATGTCCTGTGGAAAATGGATTGCAGTGGGGCAAGACAGGAGTTGCCCTAAGCTTAGACTGAGGGGGTGGAAAAATCTATGATTTAGGAGTAAAATTCTATGGCCTTGAATTTCCCTCCAGTTCCATATCTGCACATTTAATGAACCACATACAGAAAACATTCTAAAAAAAATTGGATCTGCACTGAATATGTGTAGACTTTTTTTGGTCATTATTCCTTGAACAATATAGTATAACAGCTATTCACATAACATTTATATCATATAAGTATTACCAGTAATCTAGAGATGATTTAAAATATATTAAATGATATGCATAGGTTATATGAAAATACTATGCCATTTTATGTGCAGGAGTTGAGCATCTGTAGATTTTGGTATTTGTGGAGAGAAGAGTTCAAGAAATGGTCCCCCTCAGATACCAGTGTCAACTGTACAGATTACTTGTGTTTGGTTTTTGTTTCCCTATGATTTTCTTTGTACTTTTCATTATATTACCATCTTTCTATTTCTATTTTTGCCTTATTTTTCTCTTTATCTTTCTCAGTGAGTTACAACTATAGCACAGTTTATGATGTATGAGGGCTGGGAGATGGCAGCATAGCTGGAGTGGTATGAAAAAGCAACTTCCCCAGAAGAGTCTATATGCTATATTTATTTGTTTTATTCAAAAATATTTATTGAAGGGCCAGGGTTATAGCTCAGTGACACAGCATGTGCCTGGAAAGCACAAGGTCTTGAGTTCTATTTCTAGTACCAAAAAAAAATTATTGAACTCTTACTATGTGGCAGGCATTGGTTTAGATATAGAGAAACAGTGGTTAAAGTTCCTATGAAATTTACATTGTAACAAGAAGGGACAGTAAGTAAGAATATCAAATGTGGCAAGTGCTATGCAGAAAATTGAAACAGACTTATGTGGTAGAGAGTAAATAGTTTACTCTCTTAAATTGAGGGATCATGGAAGGCTTCTCTGAAGAAATGACATTTAAATTCAGACTTGAAGAACAAAAAAGAGCCAGCCATGTACTAAGTAATGCAAATGCTCTTAAGGTAAGAAAAAGTTTGATAGGATCAAAATGTAGAAAGAAACCAATATGGTTGGAGCATAGTGATTGAGAGAAGGAATGGTACGAGACAAAGTTAGAGAGGTAAGGGCCAGATGATGTTGAGTCTGGAAGCCTGTCTAAGGTATATAGTTGCTCTTCTAAATGTGATATGAAGGAAACCCTGGTAAGTTTTAAAACCAGGAGTAATAATGAGATTTATTTTGTGGTAGCTCCTTTATGAAATTAAATTATTGGGGATGGGAGCAAAATGGGCTACAGAGACACCAGTTAAATGGCAAAAGCAGTAGTCCAGGCAAGAAGTAATAACTGCTTAAACTATGGTGTTGGAGAGCAGTAGAGAAATATAACTGGCTTCAGGATATTTTGGAAGTAGGACAACTTATTGATTACCAACCACGATTGTAAGAGTAAATTAAAAATAGAAGCGTAGGGGCTGAAGTTTTAACTCAGTGGTAGAACTTTTCCAGATGTGTAAGGCCCTGGGTTTGATCCTCGGCACTGAAAGCAATAGCAACACAGATTTTGTACTTAAGGAATTTATAATTAACATATAGCAGTTATTTAACACTTTAAAAAATTTTGTTTTTCTTAGAGAATTGCATTTAGCTGAGCGTGGTGGCACATGCCTGAATCTCAGCAGTTGGGAGGCTGAGGAAGAGGATCACCATGAATTCAAGGCCAGCCTGGGCTGTACAGTGAGCTCAAGGCCAGCCTAAAATACATAGTGAGACCTTGTGTCAAAAAAACCGAACAAGGGCTGGGGATTTAGCTCAGCGGCAAAAGCGCCTGCCTGGCAAGCGCAAGGTCGTGAGTTCGGTTCCTGGTACCGGAGAAAAACCAAAAAAACCGAACAAACAAAAAAAGAGTTGAATTTAGGTGATTTGTAATGTATATGAGTCTCTTGAACAACTGAAATGTGTTCTTTCAAAACAAGTTTGCATTATGGGTCAAGTTGAATCTGATGTATGTTAAGGGGCTACCTTAGAAGTGAACTTTGAAGTTGATGTTGGAAGATTTCACGATGCTTATGAATTTTAAGCCAGGATTTTAAGGTGCACACATACACACATATTAGTTACAGAAAGGTAGGAGGACTTTTTTTCATTCTTATTGGGGTATAATTGACAATTAGAAACTGTATATATTTATGGAGTATAGTGTAACATTTTATATATGTACCATTGTAAAGTGATCAACACAAGCTAGTTAACCAATTTATCACTTCACAGTTGCCTTTTTTTTAAATGGTGAGAATACTTACAAGTATACCATCCAGTATTGTGAACTATAGTCACCATGCTGTGTGTTAGATCTCCAGGATTTACGCATTTTTGCATATCTTAAACTTTGTGCCCTTTGACCAATATCTTCTTCTTTCGCTCACCCCCCAGTTCCTGGCAATCATCTCTTCTATTCTGTGCTTCTATGAATTAGGTTTTTTAAAGCCCACATATAAGATCATGTTGTATTTGTCTGTGTCTGGCTTATTTCACCTAGCATAACGTCTTCAAGGAAGGACATATTTTCCCCTTTTGGTTTTGGAGACAGGGTCTCACTCTCCAGAGACCCAGGTCGGCCTTAGACTTGCAGTTCTTCTTCCTCGGTCTCCTGAGTGCTAGGATTACACGGGCATATGGCACCATGCCTGGTGTCTTGGTTGTTTCATCACTGAGACAGAGTACCTGACACCCACAGATTAAAGGAGGAGAAATTTACTTAGGTTCCAGTTTCAGTCCACAGTCATTTGGCTCCAAGGCAGGATGGCATGGCACAGGGACGTGGAAGAACAGCTACTTACCTCATGGTGGACAGGAAGAAGAGAGTGAGAAGGAAGAAGCTGGAAAGGGAGATAAACCCTCCTAGGCTGTACTGCCAGTGACCGCCTCTTCTGACCAGACCCTACTTCCTAACAAGCCAGCCATAAGCCCCCGTAATCCCATCACCTTCCGAAGGCCTCACCTATGGCTTTTGGGGGACATCTAGATATAAGCCATAGCACCTGGTAAGGGAAGACATTTCTTTTCTTCCGTCTTTCTGAGATAGGGTCTTGCTATGCAGCTCAGGCTGGCCTTGATCTTACTTTGTAGCCCAGGCTGGTCTTTTTTTTTTTTCCCCAGACTGGTCTTAAACTTGCAACAATCCTCCTGCCTCAGCCTCCCAAGTGCTGGAACTACAGGCATGCGCCACCAGGCTCAGTGCAGGAAGACATTTCTAGTAGTTGGTTATAGTATTCATTTGTGATGTTCTAATATGTACTCCTTGTACTACATGGAAAAAAATTTTAAGTATTATGTTGTAATGTTAAGGTTTATATGCCTTGTTTAACTCTTCTGCTCTGTGTATCTCAGGTACTATCTCTTTTCCCTCATCATGAATTTGAGCCGTGATGCTTATGAAATTCGCTTACTCATGGAACAAGAGTCTTCAGCTTGTAACCGGAGACTGAAGGGCTCTGGAGGAGGAGTCCTAGGAGGACTTGAAACTGGAGGATCTGGAGGACCAGGAACTCCCGGAAGAGGCCTGCCTCAACTGGCTCTGAAGCTTCGGCTCCAAGTCCTGCTCTTGGCTCGGGTCCTTCAAGGTCATCCCCCACTTCTGCTGGATGTGGTCAAAAATGCCTGTGATCTCTTCATTCCACTGGACAAATTAGGCCTCTGGCGCTGTGGCCCTGGGATTGTGGGGCTTTGTGGCCTTGTGTCCTCCATCCTGTCAATTCTCACCCTAATCTATCCCTGGTTAAGACTCAAGCCTTGACACTCTGGTACAGGATAAAGAGGGGACCTGAACTGGTGAAATGAAATTTGAGATCATCTCCCATGCACTAGCCTCATTCTAATTCTACTTCTTGATTAGTTAAAATCCTGAATTTAGGGGTTTAGGGAGGAGACTTGGGGAAGATGAGGCAAAGATAGATGACTTGTCAATAGAGTGATTCTGATACCCAGATATGCCTAAGCTTTTATTCTTTTTCTCTTTCATTGTCTGAATCTCTCTTGACTCTATTTTATAATCCCAAGTCTATTTAAGATACTTCTTGCTTTATCTGCACAGTCCCCTGTCTAGAAATTAAATGGAGATCCTTTTTGGTAGAGATCCTTTTTGGTAACATTTGATTTGTAAGACTCTGCCTTCTTTTTTTCTCCAGAGGGTGCTTGTGACAAATTATTTTTCTCCTTCAGACTCCAAATCATAATTTTTTATTGTTGTTTATTGATACAGGGCCTCACTATGCAGCCCAGGCTGGCCTCAACTCAAGTGATCTTCCTGCCTCAGCCTCCTGAGTGCTGGGATTATAAATGTGTGCCACCATGCCTGGCATAAATTGTAATTTTTAAAACTTCATGTTCCAGTGAACCCTTTCTTTGTGTTTCTGCACCACAGGTTGTTTAATGCTTCCTCTTCCATCCTCATATCTACCTCACCAACCTCTCTTGTGATCTGGCCCTTACCCTTCCCTGTACTCACACCTTCAGATTTCTGCTTACCCTTTGATTTCAGAGCTTTGTTCCCTAGCTGGTTCTTCTTTACCTATCCAGATTGATGCTGTGTCTGGCATCCTGCTGTAAGTACTGTACAATGATTCTGTGTAAATAGCTGTGGCCCATGTCCACAATGGAGAGCAAGCCTCCCAGGTCAGCAAATTAAAGATCAGTTTGCTCACTGACATTTGGTCTGGTCCTTCATGTTCTCATCATTTGAGGTCCTTATTCATGTCACTGTGGTTTGAGTTTTTCATGGGATTATCTGCTGACATCCCCCACAGATTTTTGTAGGGCACCTGTAGTGTGCAGGGCAAAATATTAAATAGTGAACATACAAAATCTAAGAAACAAACAAATAAAAAAAAAGCTAAGAAGCTTCATGATCCCCAAGTCCTTTGAGAAATTAGAAATGTACAGCCTCGTGGCATTGGGAGAGGGATGGTCTAATGCTAAAGTGTAAAATTAAACTAACAGAAAACACACCTAACACCAACTGATAGATGCGGTCCCTGCAAAAGCTGTAACACCACAAACAGCATAGGCTGAGCCACAAGCAGGATCAAGTGGACTGGGGCTGTTAAGGCTTGGTTTGCACACTTGGGGGATAATACCACTGCCATCAGCTCTTTGATTTTGCATATCCCAGCTTGAGATAAATAAGGTTAGGAAGTGGAAAACAATCTTTCTCTCACTCCTACTCTCTGTTCCAAATTTGAGGAAAGCATTGTTAAGTGGGCAACAAAGAAGAAAAGCAGCAGAAATGGTCAGATGGCCAGGCATGGTGGCACATGCCTGTAATCCCAGCACTTGGGAGGCTGAGGTAGGACAATTTGCATGAGTTCAAGGCCAGCCTGGGCTACATACTGTGTTCAAGGCCAGCCTTAACTATGGGGCTAGACCCTGTATCAAAATAAAAAAGGTCCAAAATTGTGTCCTCTTTGGATATTGAGATGAGGCCTCCAGGGGGCAGCACCGAGGCAGATGGCTAACTTTAAGATCTCTCAGTCCTCCTCTCCTTGGTCTGGGGCTCCCCACGGTTTCCCACCAGCACTCCTCCCATTCCTTCCAACTTTATTTTTAGCTGCCAGTGGGAGGGGGCAGGATTGGAGAGAAAGTAAAGAAAACAGAAAAGGAAAGGGATAGAGGCACAGAGGACTTCTCACACAGGACAGAACGACCAGGCATGGAGCTTTCCCTCTTCCCTCACCTGTTCTTGCCCCTGGTGTATCTGGCAGGTGAGGGAAGTTAACTTGTTGGTTTCTGGGGGGAATGGAGATTGTGTGGAATTGACACTGCTGAGGTTAAACTTTGGGGGATTTAGGGCAGGAGGTAAATACTGCTTCTACATTTCATGTGTGTGAATATATTCTTATGTTCCCACATATGACTACTTCAGTATGAAGACTGGCAGGGGCTAAAGCTGTCTAGGGCCTTGTGTAAGATTTGCACCTAATCTAAAACCTTTATCCTAAACAAGGTAGGAAGGAGGAGGCAGAAAAGAAACATGATATGATCTTCCACGTGGCTCGTCTGATCCCTGGTACCTCGTTCTCTTCTCCCTACCCTTGGCAGTCCCTGGGGCATGAGGCATAACTGCCTTACTATGTGTGTGGTCAGAATTCTGGCTTTATATAACCAGTGAGCAACAGTTCTTGGTCATACAGCCCTGCCAGCTTCCTGGATGCAAAAAGGCTCCCACACAGAACATTTTTCTGAAAGCAAGAAGTTTAGGTTAGAGCTATAGCCATTTGCATGGTTGTTGGTGGGGTAGCCTGAGAGGGAGTTGCTTAAAAGTAAGGAACAAGACACAAATTTGGGAAGAGAACCATGGGAGGGACAGAAGGCCTGAAATTTTTCCTTGCCAGTGCCCTGTAATCTTTGTTTCCTAAAATACCAGTTTTGATTTTAAGGGAATTGGGGTCAGAAAGACATGGTTGAGTGCTTTTTGAGTGGGCCAAAGTTTGAGGAAACCATGGAGGTAAGCAAGGGGCTTACCCTTCAGCTTGAGAAGGTAAATGTGAT